GTTTTTAACAGGTTTGAATGAATTACAGATCTACATGTAACAAGGTGGAGTTATGAATTTAATTAAGCATATCTCACAAAACAGATAGCATAAAAAAGATTCCTACCAAGAAATTGTAGATTCAATGCTGGGGGTAGTGGTGCACACCTGTAATTCTAGCTGGTTGGGAAGCTGAAGCAGAAGGACCATGAGTTCAATCAAGGCCAGCCTAGGCAACAAGTCAAGACTTTCAGAATAATTTTTTAAGATTATATTAATAATGTGAGCAAAAGTGAACATATACATGTGTCACAGTTGATGATTCGTCTATGAAAAATGAAGTAAAAATCAATGATAATACAATTTGAGAAGACATCCAAAAACTGAAATTATAAAGAAGACAGTTAAATGTATGATGTTGTATCCATATTGTTAACAATGAAAAATTCTCTTTGATATGTTGGCTCATGAAATACTGCCTAATAGGGGCTGTGGATATAGCTCAGTGATACAGCGTCTGCCTGACAAGTGTGAGATCATGAGTTCAAGTCCCAGTACCAAGAAAAGCAAAACTGGCTAATGAAAGTAGGAAGCTTCTATAATTAGTTAACACATAGGACATAAAACAGAGTTATACAAGTTTTTGTTGACATTTAAAATCAGATCAGATGTAATTATATAAAAATCACTAAAATTAATGACAGATAAAGAAATAGATTCTTTTGAGTTTCCTAATGGTGAAATACCAAATGCAATACATTATTAGTAATTTTGGGAGCATACTTGTTCTTCCTGTCACAGTAAAATGAATGTAATACAATATAGAAAACAACACAGCAATAATTTAAATGGAGAATGTTGTGAGCAAATGCTCTCAGAAAGTACAAAAATCACTTGCAGATGATTTGAAGTTTTAAGAATTAAAACATTGTTTAACATGGGAGAGTAGTGTATATTTATAGTGTAGATGTTTCTAATATTGTATTAACTGGATTATTGAATTAACTAGAGTTTGTCTCAGTGATATATGATCACTTTCATGTGAGTATATCACTGAGGGAAAAAGGTTAGTAGGGAAGATACAGAATAAGACTTCTTAAACATAAAACAATGTATATGAAGAAATGACATGGGGTAGGAGTAATATTTTTACTTGATAGAAGTTTAGTAGTATGTGTGGAGTCAGGAGCACAGTTCAAAGTAGAATGCCTGCCTTTCATGTACAAGGCTCTAGGTTTAGATCTCCAGCAACCACAAAACAATCAGTCTATGGATTGCAAGCATGCATACATTTGTTGAAATTAAAGCATAGACCTAAAATTTGTGTATTTCATAACAAATGTATTTGTGTAGTGAAATTTGCCTGAAAAGGAAAAAAAATTATATATGCTAAAGTAGTTAATGATTTGCATGCTGAACTCTTAGTGACAGTATATTGATATCTTTGACTTAATTGATGTACATTAAAAAAATGACAACTTGGAAATGGATGATAATGGATTGAGAGATGATAGATGAGATTAGTGTAATACATGATACTAAAATAAGTGAAGTAAAAGTGGTGTTATAGTCAGGGTTTGCAAGGAGAACAAGACAACACAGGACCGACAATGGGAACAGCTGAGTTTATAACAGGAAGCCAGCATGACAAGCTTCTCCAGAAGACTGAACAACACACATTTTCTTCTCTGGAGCCAGGAAGTGATGCTCAGAGTAAGGACCAGAGTTACTCCAAAGCAAACCGCAGCCATTCTCAGCGACGAGGTCCAGCTCCTCCAAAGAGAACATTCATATCAGAGAAGCCAGTATGACAAGCTCCTCCAAGAGAACCAATAGTCCCCGAAGGACCAACAGCTTCTGCTCTTCTTCTCTAGTTCTCTGTTTTCATGCTGGCTGTTAGTCTTAGGTGGACCATCCACATTCAGTACCATGCTGGCTCAGTTCGGCTGATATTACAAATTGACCACCAGTTAAAAATCCACAAGTGGTAATTATAGAGTCTAAGTGGTGGATATATGAATATTTTCTGTAAAATTATTTCAGCTTTTCTGTTACAGTATTAGGCATTCTATAGCAACACAAGTTGATGTCAGATGTGCAGAGTACTTTAGAATCATATCCGTTTTACTTAGATTTTTATAAAAATCTGTCTTAGTCCATTTAATATATGTTGCAACAAAATACCTGGAGGCTAGATGCTTTATAAAGTAAAGAGATTTATTTGGCTTAGAATTCTGGTGGCCAGAAGGTCCAAACAGTGTGGTATCTTGGTGAGAGCCTCTCTGCAGCTGGAAAAGCAGGAGGGGAAATGGTCTTTTGCACAGAGGACCAAGCTCATGAGGTGGTAGTCTCACTGTGTTTTCTATTTTTTCTTTGTTTCATTTTGTTTCTTTTCTTTTCTTTTCTTTTCTCTCTCTCTTCTTTCTATGTTTCTTTCTTTACTTAACCCTTTTGAATAAAAAAGTGCCTATATAATATGCTACATAGATTCAAAATAAACTAATATACCAATCAATGAAACACTGTTTAAATTAAAGGAGATTATTTTCACAATACATGTGGAAGTAATTGCCCTTTTAAAAGGCAGACATAAAAATTACAAATTGTTTTAAAAATCTGGCTTTGAAAATCTTACATGATTTTTGTTATTAAAGATGAACATGTATATGAAAAATATTCTGTTTCTATTTCTCCTCTTCCTTCTTCCTCAAGTACTATTTCTTCTCCATCTTCCTCCTCTTCCTTTTTCTCTTCTTGTTCCTCCTCAACTACTACTGTGACTACTTTTCATCTTCCTCTTCTTCCTCCTCCACTACAACTCCTACTTCTTCCCCCTTTTCTCCTCATCTTTCCCCTTCTCCTCCTGCTCCTTCTTCTTTTTTTTTGGTCTTTTTCCTTTTTATCGGCCCCAGGGATTGAACTCACGACTGCCTGCTTGCAAGGCAGGCGCTTATGCCGCTGAGCTAAATCCCCAGCCCCCCTCCTTCCTCCTTTTTCCTTGTTTCCCCCTTCTTCTCCCCCACCCCCACTCTTCCTCCCTCATTTCCTGATGTACTACCTCCTATATCAGGCATCGAGTCCAGTACCATCAATTTGACCCGCATTTGTAACTCCAACTTCCACCTTAAGTTTTTTTTTTTTAAGTTTGAGACAGGGTCTTGCTACGGTGCTCAGGCTGGGCTTAAACTTGTGCCACACTCATGGTGCTATTTGCTCTAATTAAAAAAAAGACAGCCCCCCCCCCCACTTGGAACAATGTTTTTTATACTTTTGAAAGTTCTTCCAAGTAAAGTTTTAGTGGATTGGTAGGAGGAGATATGATAGGGAAGGAAGAGGTGTTGTTCAAAGAGTACAAAGTTTCATTTATACAGGAGGAAAAAGTTTTAAGTGTTTTTATTGGATGATTATAGTTAGTACTAATGTACTATGTCTTTCAAAATTCTAGAAAAGTAAACTTTAAATATCTTACCATCAAAATGTTAAGTATATAAAGTGATGGATAGGTATAGTAATATGATTTAATCATTCCCCAAAGTATGCATAATCACATTGTATCCCATAAATATATGTAATTATATCTGTCAATTAAAAACATTAAAAAAAACCCAAAATACAAAAAACATTGTCACATATCTAATGGCCCATGAATGTCTTGGTAGAAATTCATCATTTTAGTCATCATATATAATTAATATACTCTTCTGGTTGATTGTAAGCTTTAGTAAAAATAAATAAATTGTAAGAAAATAGTAAACCAAAATAAAAACTTCAGCAGGTTTTTCAACCTATTATTAAAAATGTTAAAATGCAACGTCTTTTGATTAGTTTAGAAAAATAGTTAACTGACATGAGGAAAGATGGAAATTATTAATGTAAATTCAACAAAAATTGTTGATAATTAATGGAAGGCATTAAAAATAAAAATAGTGATTTACTTAAGTCCAACAAAGGATGTATTTTTTTTTCGATTGTTTCTTTGAGATGGGGTCTCCCTATGCAGTTCAGGCTGGCCTTGAGCTCACTGTGTAGCTCAGGCTGGTTTTCAACTTGGATCGATCCTCCTGCCTCAGTTTCCTCCCAAGTTAAAATAATGTATTTAATTTTTATCAATTTATCTTTGCAGTTATCCCTTTCTTGGTTCTATAGCCGTTACAGTTAAGGGGTAAGATAAGCAGCAGTAACAGTTCAGTCATAAAATATTTAAATATTTAAATCAGTATTTAAAGGTTATTGTAATGTAGTTTTTATTATTTTCATTTTTATCATTGTTCCACTAAAATTAATATTTTTCTGAATAATGAATCAATCTTTTGAAAGATCAAAGAGTAATAAGATACAAAACTATTTTTAATGCTTCTAATATTTATTTTTATTTCTATTTTATATTATCTAGCATATATTAATAAAATAGTATATATTAATAAACATGCACTTAGTGAAGTGCAGTACAAGTTTTTCAGTTATTGGAATATGTGATAAAGTTTGGAGACCTCATCACTTTTGATAAGGCAAGCAATTATTGGTAACAATGATTATTCTAAAAGTCTGTGCCATTATTGTATATATTATAAATCAGTACATAGATTGTATTATATTTATCATGTGTATTTCTTACTTTTATCTCAGACTTGTTTTCATCTCTGTCTCAGATTTTCTTTTTTCTTTATTCTTTCCCCATTGTGAAAAAAAAATGTTCATTGGTCTTATTTTCTCAATGTCATTGTCAATGTGTGTATATAAATACATTGATGAAACTTCCAGCCTGTTCAGTTAAAATTTCTCCTCTGACTATAGTACACAGAGGAGGATTTGAGTGACTGTATTTTCTGTTCTCCCAAGGACACTACATTACTAGTATAGTTTTGGATGCATAAGAAAGAAATGAATTCATTAGATGCAATGAATGTCTTAGGGTAGTAGGGTTTAATTCTTTCCTAGAGTAGATTGTTTTTGCAGCAAGTTCTTGGATTACTTTGATTGGCTTATGATATTTATACTAATAATTAAAAAATTTTTTTTAGATTACAGGTCCACCAGGTTGTGGTAAGACTCAGTTTTGCATGATGATGAGTGTGTTGGCTACATTACCCCCCAACATGGGAGGATTAGAAGGAGCTGTTGTGTACATTGACACAGAGTCAGCATTTAGTGCTGAAAGGTAGTATATTTTATTATTTCCATTATAATGTATTACTTTTATAATATATATATAGTGTGAAAAACTTACACGTTTCTTTAATTTCTGCTTTGTCCTTTATGGTTTCTTTTTTTCTATTAGTTTCAGATTTGGATGGACATTGAGGTGAATTATTAGGTTATTTATTTGGGATCATGTTATTCTTTTTATGTGTACATTTATAGCTGTAAACTTTCATCTTAGAAATGGTTTTACTATGTCCCATAGGTTTCGGTATAGTTGTGTTTTCATTGTCATTTGATTCTAGGAACTTTTTTCTTTCTTCCATGATTTCTACTATAATCTGTTGATTATTTAATAATGTATTATTTAATCTCCATATGTTTGTGTTTCTATGGCTTCTTTTAGTTTATCTTTATTATGTTATAATCTGATAGTATGCAGAGGATTACTTCAGTTTTTATATTTAGGAGTGCTTTTATGGCATAGCATATAATCTGTTTTGAAACATGTTCCATATGCTGTTGAGAAAAATACATATTCTGTTGTTGGCTAGAACACCATATAGATACCTGTTAAGTTCATTTGTTCAATGGTGTTAATTCTGATGTTTCCTTGTTGATTTTTTTAATCTGGTTCTCCTATTTGTGAGAATATAATATTTAAGTCCCCCACTATGATGGTACGGTGAGTCCTCAACTTACGAATATTTGAGTTGTGCATTTTCACAAATACTAACAGGCTTTACATTTAGTTTTTATATGCTTTATATTGTATACTTGTGTCAAATGTGTACAAGACTCATTTTGTTGGACTTAAGGATGACTCTGACTCATGAATGTTCTTCCTGAATAGAACTTGTTTGTGTGGAACTTGTACAAATTTCATTAATTTCTGCTTCGACTTGTTTGTAAGTTGGACACTTATTGTAGTGGTATTTCCTGTCCTTTAAAGTTTAATAGTTTCATTTTATGAAGTTAAGTGTACTGACATTCAGTGAATAGATATTTACCATTATTATCTCTTCTTGTTGAATTGTTCCCTTTTTTTATTTTAAAGAGGGTAAAACAGAATAAAATCAATCAAAACAAACCAGTGTAAGAGATACAGGCCTAAAAATACTACAAAAATCACAATAGTTACCATAATGCCTTTTGATGTCTTCAAAATAGCTGCAGGTAACTTCACACATAGTAAAAACCAAACAGAACAAAACAGAATAGAATAGAAACAATAAAAACAAGACAGTGAATGCCATAAAGGATTTCAAAACAAGCCAGTGGTAAATCCAAAATTGCTACCATAATATATCTTGCTATCTTTTAATTAGCTGCTCCTGCCATCACATTTGACATAAACAAAAGAGAATAAAACCCAACCCAACAAAACAATGGAAACAATATAGGACTTCCAAAACAAGACCATAGGGAATCAACAATGGCTGCCACCCTCAGAATGAGATCCCCCCAGATGCCATATTGCATACCACTATCCTCTGAACCTGTGGTGAGACCGCTGGTCCTAGGCTGCAATGTTACTGAAACACCAAAGCACCACAGCCATCCAATTGCATTTCACCTCCATAGCTATCATCACAGCCAGTGTTTCTCTGGATAAGCTGGCTACTTACAGTGGGAATGAGGCAGGACTGGGGGATAGTACTTCCTGTTTGCCAGCCTGAGCACTGGAGGGGGTTGGGATCTGGCTGTTCCAGTCTAGTGGGGGTCCACACATGGTACTGGTTCCTAGGCTGGGTTTGCTCACTGATATGTCCTTTGTTCTCTGCCCCATCTGCAAATGGTGCTGACACATGGGGAGAGGCTAGGGTCTGGCTGTTGCAGTCTGGGGGGAGCTCCATGCATGGTGCTGCTTTTCAGACTGGTTTGCTTTTTGACGTGTCCTTTGTTCTCTCTATTCCTGATCTGTGAATGAATTATTCCCTTACCAATGTATACTGTATATCTCTGTCTCTTCTGATCAATTTTGGCTTGAAATCTGCTGTGTCTCAAAATAAGATAACTATTCATACTTGTTTTTGGGCTCTACTTAAATTGAATGTTATGGTTTATGTCTGGATGCCCTCCTGCCAAAAGACTTATGCAGTCATGGGAGTGGTCTTCTAGACTGTGATTTTGTTTTTTGGTTCCAGGGATCAAACTCACAACCTTGTGCTTGCCAGGCAGGTGCTTACACCACTGAGCTAAATCCCTGACTCTAGAGTTTGTGATTGATTCATGATTCAATGCTGTGATCATGGATGTGAGTGTTAAACCTATGCTAGGGTGGTAGCCTACATACAATATAAGGGACAGAAAGAGTCCGCTTGGTGCTCCTCCTTTTTGCTTTTATTGCTTTTGCTGTTTTTTGCTGCCACAAACTTTTTTTTTTGGTACCTGGGATTGAATTCATGACCTTGTACTTACCAGGCAGGCACTTATGCCACCAAGCTAAGTCCTCAGCAATTGCTGCCATGAACTGTTGCCCTCTGCCATAAGTCACCCTGCCTTGGAGCCTGCTGATTGTGGCCTGAAAGCTCCACAAACTATGAGCTAAATAAACCTTTCCTTCTTTAACTTTGAGTGTGAGGCATTTTATCAGCAATGAGAGAAAAGTAACCAAGATATCAAGTATCATTTTCCATCTTTTAACTTTTAGTTTACATGCTTCCTGTTGGATTGGGTGTGTCTTCTGTAGACATTATAGTTTTCATCCCATCTGCCAACCTGTGTCTTTTACAATGAGCTGTTATTATAAGATGTTTATAGAATCTTGTCATTGCATTATTTCTTCAGTGCTGATTCCTTTTTGTTTGTTTGACTACTTTCCAAATTACACACATACTTTGCTTTGGGTTATTTGATGATGGTGGTCTCTATGTTTTTGTTGAGGATTTTCTGAAATATTGGATTAGTGGTCATGTGTTTCTCTTGGGGTCCTGGCCAAGATCCCCAATGTCTCAAATGAGTGTATGGTGGAGGCTTAAATAAATGAGACAAGTTACAGTATGATTTTAGGGCTCCAGGAGGATCAAAACCCTCTAGCTGAGGTTCCAGACAAAGAGCTTCTCTGGGCAGCACATATTTATTAGGTTTTCAGACAAAGAGAGAGGATACTGAGGAAAGCGTGGGAGTTGAGCAGCATCTTGGAAGTCACTTCAAAGAGTTCTCCAAGTAGTAAATTACACTAATTTAGGAGAACTGTCTTATCTCCATGATGACACTTATGGTAGGAGTGAGACAGCAGGAATGAGATGCCTACAGATGCAGTCTTTACTTAATTGGGGTTAGAGCCAGGTGTCCTCAGGTGTGGCCTTATCTTGCCCTTTGAGGTATTTTTGGCATCACAGGTCTCAGCCAGGACCAATGATTCATTGAGGTTCATTTACTATGAATCAGCTTCCATCACCAGACAAGGGGCGTAAATCTAGGACAGACTCACAGATAAACATAGAAAGCCAATTAGTTAATTTTAAATCCCACTCAGCACCACTTTATAGTGGCCTCCAACATATTTCTTTAGAATTTCTTTGGAAAAGAAAAGAAAGTCTTCTCCATCCAATTTGAAGGCTAGTTGTAATTGCGCAGGGTATAAATGTTTGGTTTGATAATCATGTATTGTATTATCTTTAACTCAATTAGTTTATTGTTTGTTTTTTTTAAGCCTATCATACATTTTATTAGCAAAATCCTATATTTGTTTAATGAAATCCTTTGTGAGTTCCTTAAATATTTTATACAATTGCTTACAAGTTTTTTTATTTTATTTCTTCATTGATCATTTGATTTTTAAATTGTTTGACTATATCTTCCTCTCCTTTAGTGACCATGAGATTGGTTTTGGGGGTATCTTGTTCCTTTACTTTCTAATGTTTCTGTTGTTTTTGTCTGATGGGTCAAAGGTCATTAGAAGGGTACAGAAGCTCTGTGACTACTGTGAAGATCCCTTTGGTTAGGTTCCATCTCCCTGTGATATTTTCTTGGATTTGGTTATGTTTTGATGTTTATATTCCTTTACATTCTATTCAGCATAATAGGAGGGTCTTCTTAGTGTCCAAACTTGTTCTTGGGGTTTGATCCCCAGGACCATTCAGAGAAGAAAAAATGGCAGCAGTGTTGACAGCACAATGGCAAGGCAGATAAGGTCATACATTAAAAACCAATTAAAAGCAACAACTGTGGTATCATTAACAATGGATATTATCATTAATAGAGTCAAAGAACAATGAGTCATTGAAATGCTATAAAACACCAATAATAGCTACAGGTATAATTTCTTAACAATATTAAAGAGTTTTGCAATAATAACATAGAAACAGACATACCAAATATTGACATACTGTAACTATGTACTAAAAGCAACAACTAATTCACTATTTACAATAAAAAAGAACTCAGTAATAACAGCATATAGTCAACTAAATAAAAATTAGTAAAGCTCAATTATAATAATGGAATATGTGGGAGATGGAAAATAAAAAAAGTACAATTTGAAAAATAAAAGGATGATGAGAAGGTGGCAGAAAAGTGAGATAAAAAGATTTAAAGAATAAAAGTTACTTTTTGCCTAATGGAACTAGGCAAAAGTAACATAAAAAGAAAAAAATAGAAATGTAAAGAAGGGGATTCTAGGAAGATAAAGGAGGGCTGAGCAGCAGAGAAAGAGCCTCTCCTAGATTTGGTGGCTGGAATTTAGTAATATGGAGAAGAAAAGAGGGGGAAACTGAGTTCTTAGGACCCAGAAAAGACCCGAAGTGAGAATTGAAGCCCACTAGGAGAGAGAAGAGAGAGACTTTAATGAGGAAGGGGGTAGCAGGTGCACTTTCTCCCTGTCTCACTGTATGGGAGGGGTGGCTCGAACCTGCAGATACGTGGTGACTGTTGGTAGCCTCAGAGGCCTCTAGGAGAAATGCACCACTTGAATGGAGCATTGGATGCGGGGAACTGAGGGACTGGTGAGTTATTCTGTTTCAGACATCCCAAAGAAGAGACTGATTGAGTGGTGGCCATCTTGGAGAAGGGCCA